TAATAAAATTGAAAGGGAAAACGAGGCCATGGAGGCACGACCAAGAAGTGGTCATTCCAAATAGGAATGTCAGCGCTGTGGTAGATGAAGGATGGTAATAAAAACCTCAGTATCATGAATGCCAGTACAAAATATATATCCTCTTTTTCACTGTTCCTTCTTTTCCTGACATTTTCTTTTCAACCTTTAATAGGTCAAAAACTTCTTATGAAATTGTAAAACTCGTATCCGGATGCTGTCACCTACAGATCACAACGGCACACTTGGCTGATTTACAATGCTAAAACAAAATTGTTCTAAAATTTATCCGTAGCTACACTTTACTTACCGTCCATGTTGTGAATTTATGCCGCCATTCCAGCGATCCCCAGCAATGTTGTGTGTTGGCGAACTGAAATTATTGTGAGCCGTTCCACGACTGTACGGGGTAGGCGGTATCGACGAAGTATTACTTTGAAAAGCATTGGAGCCTGCTGAATTCATAAAACCACCACGACTGTCACCACGACCAAAGCTGCAAAAATTTTACTCTCAGTGATAAAATTCAAAATGCAAGTTAACGTATAAGATATTTTTATGATTGAAAGACCTATGTTAAATCATACCGTGCCGTAAAATCGTATTTTTTTTTCACCGTTTTCATTTATTCCGTTAAAGTTATCGATAATTATGTGATAAAAAGCTTAATTCCAGTACTGTCATTCTAAGACGCATAAAATGCCGTAATGCGCCGAAATAATCAACAAAAAAAAAATCAAAAATGATCAAAAATTCATATCCTCATTACTCATTAAAATTACTGAAGCTTACAAGGGCTTAAAATTGTTTGATGTACTGGACCACTGTAAGGATCGCCGTTCATTTCCTGGATCCTGTATTGTTGGCGCTGAACGTGTGTGATGAAACCCCATACCATTCCCAGAATTGTATTGCGAACGTTGATCACGCCCGCCAAAACGCCTGAAAAGAAAAGCCCTCACAATGGCAGTTTCTTAAAACTATTACCTTAAATATTCAAAACCCTTGTTGAAGCCTTGCTGAAGTAAAGAAATTTAATACTAACAAACTGCAATTTTAAAAATTTAAATTTAGAACGACGTGAAAAAAAGAGTCTACTTCACTGAGGTGAACTATTTTACTCAAACACTAGTAAAGGAAATGGATTTGCTGAGGGATGAAATTTCCCCATCGAAGTTCCTGAACCCTAATGATTTTACTTAGTTTCTTCGATCAGCTGTTATTTCATCGCAGCGCCTCTTTGAGCTCAATCAGAGTGCGTTTCTTCGAAGAAAATTTTGAATAAATAGTCTCTTCTCGATGTCTGCACCTCCCGGTTCTTGTCTAATAATATGCCTCCCAAACATCTCCGGCCGAAGGGTCTGGGGTAAAATCTGTAGAAAGGATATCGCGCTGCAAGTCAGCGGATTTCGAATGACAAGGCAACTACGTCCGAACTGCCCAAAGGTAACCTGAGACTTCACAGAAAAACTCAAAAAAGTAAACAAGAGCGTACCCAACGCGCGTCTTATCGCCGTACTTTGAAAAACTTCGAAAGCCTTCACCACCCATTTTCTCAAGCCAATCCGGTATTTCCTGATTCGTCTCAACTAAAAGCGCCGTAAGATGCTGGCCGATATTGCGATTTCTGTCGGTGAAAAATGAAGTGGCCAGGCCAAGA